GAGGTAGGAGAAAGTGGGCACTGAGCCAGCAGAGGTTCAAATACTTTTTTTCTCATTTCCTAGACATATAGATAGCCTCCGCCTGCCGAAGTTTTCCATCTCGGGTGACTATAATCTGAAAAACATACTTCCCCTGCTGGGCATTAGGGAAGTCTTCACCAAGGAGGCCGACCTGTCAGGGATCACGGGGGCCAAGAACCTCGTGCTCTCCCAGGTGAGTCTTCAGACTTTGGGCGACTTATCCTCCATATCTGAATTGGAAAGGGGAAGGCCTGATGGATGTTTGGGTGATCTTGAGTTTGTGTAAATACATGCGTCTCTCATCACTGATCCTCCTCCTTGGGACTCCCCCAAGCCCAGGAGAGCTGGGGTATAGTTGGGGGCTGGTCTCCACCTCCCTTGCCACATACCGTGACCCGGGAACCTGTCATTGGGCAGAATCAGACGGCCGTGGACACCCTCCCATGCTCCCCTGTGTAGTGTCTGCAAGACAAACAATTAAAGTCCTCCACCCTCAGTTTTTTCATCTGTCAAATGGGAGTGATAGTCCTCGGCTCATATGCGGTGCCTGGCAGGGCAGGTGATGGTAACAGGTAATAGGAATGGTTATATGGAATTGTGACGGAAATGCACTCAGAGTATGAGAGAAGACTACTTGGGCCGCCAGGACTGCATTACTAGAAGCAGAGTGATCAGAGCAAAGGGAGTGGGCTGGGCTGCCCTCCGCTCTCCTCTGTACGTGTGCCCACGCAGAGCACTGGGCCGGGCTCTGCACCCCTCCTCCCCAAGAGCAGGGGGATAGGGGCTGTGTTCGGAGGAGCAGAGACAGGTAGTCCTGGAATGCAAAGCCATGCAAAGTAGTTGAGAGCCCCAAGGGTGTTTAAGCTGGGGCAGGAATACTGGTCCTGCCAGGGAGGTGTCTGCGGCAGCTGTTTTGTGGTCGAGAGGCTGCCAGGAATTTGCTTACAAGAAAAATGCCTTTGAGAGGCTGCCAGGAATTTGCTTACAAGAAAAATGCCTTCGGTGGCCCTTGCCCCGCCTCCCGACAGGAGTGGGTGTTTGGGGGGCAACACAGGCTCTTCACTCGGATGGAGAGGGACCCAGGGCAGGCCCCCAGCTCTTTACCTCTACATCTCTGGGCAGGTCATACATGGCGTCTGAGTCTCCATTTGCGCACCTGCCATCGTGACTGTGCGAAACTAGCTGACAGGGCTGTCCGGAGGAGCAAACAAATTTAATAGCGCGGGAACGTGCCGGCGGCAGATGCTCGATAAATGTCAGTCCCCTTAGCAGCACACGGGAAGGCTGCTTGTCCCCTGCCCCCTCCTGTCTGAGTACTGCCGTGCTGTCCCTACAGGTGGTCCACAAGGCCGTACTGGATGTAGCTGAGGAGGGCACAGAAGCAGCTGCTGCCACAGGAATCAAAATGGTCCCCATGTCTGGAAGAATGGACCCGATGTTAACTCTGAATTTCAACTTCCCCTTTCTGCTGATCCTCCAAGACAAGGACTTGGACAACATCCTCTTTATGGGCAGAATTAGAGAGCTCTAGTAAGCCTAGAGCTCCCCTCCAAGCAGTGGGGGTCCCGCTAAGGAGCCGGGAATGGAAGCCGGGTGCCGGGTCTCTGGGCATAGCCTGGTTCTGTCTGCTCATCCTTAGGAAGGTGACAGTGACTGCCTGTGTGGCTTCCACATGCATAGGCAGCCTCCTGACAGCAATAAACTGTCTTCCTTGTACTGGACACTTTCCTTTTGCCTGACTCTGTGTCCCCAAGAATGCCTGTGCGCCAAAGCCAAGCCCCCTGACTCCCACGCAGGCTCAATCCCTTCCCAGGCTCTGGGCCCCTCTGTCTTCAGCTGCAGCAGCCCGACCAGGACCCCCTAAGCTTGCAGCCAAGCTCACCTGGACCCCAGGCCCACGACTGGAGGGGACCCTGCTGTCCTAAGGCCGATTCCTGCCTCCAGGGGCTACCTGGTGCCTGGTTCCAGTTTTCCTCTTTCCCTCCCCCAGGGCCCAGGCTCTGCCCACCTGCTGACTCTTGCAGGGGCTCCAGGCCCTGACCACACCTGGCACAGCCCCTGGACCCCTCACTTCTGCAGCAGAGCAGGGCTTTATGGTGGGATCTCTCCTTTCTGCCCCCCCAGCCCCCCAATATGTGGAGAGTGGCCATTTTCTGGGTTCCCAGACTGAGCCCCTCAACTGTCTCAGCAGTTCCTAGTCCTCACCCTGATGGACGATCTCCCTGGGCAACCAGAACGCGGGGCTGAAGACACAGGAGCATTACATGCACAGCGGCAGCGAGCGCGGCCCTGCAGCTGTTCATTTAACTGATGCCATCGGAGACCTCGTGATCTCTAGGGACGACAAAGACAGTGACAGGGTTGACAACAACTGAATAGTTGAGATCTTTATTCCAGACCGTCTGCTAAGATCTCTCCTTGAAATCACCCATTTAATCCCGGTGATGACCCTATGAGATAGATGCTATCAATGGTCTCATTTTGTAGATGAGGAAACTAAGGCGCAGAGAGGCTTAGCAATTTTCCCAAGGCCACAGAGCTAGTAATTATTGCCGGCAGATGTTATCCCAATCCACCTGCCACCCGAGGAGCACGCTGAACCACAAAGTGATTCCACACCTTGAGATTTTCACAGTGTCCCCTCAGGGGACAGACAATCTGATGGGCAAATAGATGGTGAAACAAGGCTCTGGGAGCTGAGAGGAGAGCATCAAACTCAGTCTGGGATGTCAGGGAAGACTTCTTGGAGGTGGTGACTTCTGTGCTGAGATCAGAGGAGGAATAGAAGGTGGTCAGGTGAACAGAGAAGAGAACCTTCGGGCAGGAGAAAGAGCAATGGTGGCATTTTTGAGAAACTGAAAGAAATTGAGTAGTTCTGGGGCAGGGAGCAGAAGGGCTGGGAGGAGGAAGAGACAGAACCGCTGCCAAGGATTGCAGAGTGGTTCCTTGGAGCCACAGGGGCTTTAAAGGCATTTGAACACAGAGGAGACGCAAGCAGACTTGCACGCCGGAAAACTCACTCTGACTGCTGAGCAGAGAAGCGATGATTCAGGGCCCAGGACAGGGGTGCACGCTGGACATCCAGGGGCTGTTGCTGGAACTGGGGCAAAAGCAAGTCACAGGTAGGAGGGAGCGAACGCAGGGTGTTTCTGCCAGGAGGCCGTGAGAAGCATGGACACAGCTGCGGTTGGGTGCAGGGAGGAAGGGAGAATAAGCCGTGTTTGGGTCTGGGCACCTGGGTGATGACCACACATTCTGAGACAGGAGGAGGGTGAGCATCATGGCATGAGGAAAGAGGACCCCCCGTGGAAGGATCGGCTGAGAAAGGGCAGCCCGATGAGGACAGTGACCAGCATGGGGAGGAGGCGGGAGGACAGGAAGAAAGCTGTCACCCAGGCCCAAGAGGAGAGGCTTACCGAGGGGGTGGGGAGATGACCCAGAGACGGGGTGAATGGGCGCATCCATGGGAGTCAGGGATCCAAAGCCACTAGGGAAGGGCACGTGCAATGCCCGCAGGGCGGAGGGAAGGCCACAGTGGGCTTGGGAGTGAGCAGAGGAGAAGGAGAGAGAGAGCAGGAGAGAGTGCAGACGCCCACCTAGAGGTAAGCTTTTGAGGGGAGGAAAGAGGGCGGTGGGCAGTGGGCGCTATGCTGGAGTCAGCTCCAGTGCTTCGCAGATGCTAGAGCCTTGAGCAAGCTTTTATGACCACAGAAATGATTCAGGAGACCGGTGACCAGCCTCCAGGGCCGCAGGGTGCCACAACTCCTAAGGTACAATGAATATGGGCCATTCGGCACCCCCTCCAACGGGGAGGGAGCTGCACAGTGAGCAGCCGCCGGCAGGGCGGCAGGAAGCGTCTCAGAGAGAGCACAGTCGCTGGGTGGGGAGGGCAGAGGTCAAAGGTCAAGGCTCCCACTGTGACAGGAATGCAGGGGAGGCCCTGGCCATGGCAGAGGAAGGAAGGTGCATCCCTCTTAGCAGCACGCTGTGGATCCTCCTCCCCTCCAATGATTTTGGTGATTTCTGAAGTAGAAGAGACATTTGCCAGGATTTAGGATGGGGGAAGGCATGCAATGGGACAGGGAGGGGACCAGGGCGTCATGGCAGATCTGCCAGGCTCAGCGATGGGCTCCTTGGCAGCCCAACTCTAGGAATTGCTGGTGGCTCCAGTCTTCAGGGCTGTGAATTTTCTTTCTCTATCCTCTCCAGCTCCCTTTCAGGTTTCAAGAAGGTCAACTGCTGGTCAGGAGGTCGGGAGTCAAGGAGGGAGCTGAGGATCGAGACCAGGCAGGGCCTGAAATCACGGGCCTCAGACTTAGTGCTGAGAGGAACAGACCAGGGCAGAGGGAGCTGAGCCCCAGGGAGGGCCGAGGGCAAGGGACGGGGGTACCAGGAGGTCCGAGAACAGCCCGTTGGAAATGTCAATGTGAACAAGAAAGGCTACTCTTTCCCTCAAAGAGGGGTCTTCCTCATTGACACTCAGTTTTCTTGTCTCTAAAGTGGGAATAATGATGGTATGTGCATATGTGTACACACACATGTAAGAAGTCAGGCTGGCATGTACATGTGTGTAAAAAATCAGACTGGCGTGTGCATGTGTGTGTGCACACGTGTAAGAAGTCAGACGTCACTGAAATGCTTGCTCCTGGGTCTGAGTACCCCTGGCCGCAGCAAAAACACCCTAAGATGATCTTTTCTGCCTGAATTAACTCCTCACCAGCTACTCTCCCCTTGGCAGGGGTCCCTTGGCATCTGCTGTCCTTGATGGGCCTCCCGACACTGACGGGCCAGCTGCAGGGACAGCCTGGTCCCTGTTCTGACCCATCACCTCCCTCACTAACCAGCAGTGAAGTTCAGGGCCAAGAGGCACCACCACCAGAGATGCCTGTTCACTCTCATTCAGCCGCGTGAACTCCCAGCCCACCGCGCGCGGGCCCAGGCTGGCCCTGGGGTTCTGAGGTGAAGAAGGTGGGCCTGCAATTTGCCCTCATAGAGTCTTCTCCTTGGTGAGCAGGACAGGTAACTGAACGTGGATGCGACAACCGCTCTGATGGGTGGTGTGCAGGATGCCAAGTGGGCCCAGGAATCAACCCCAGACTAGGACAGTCAAGCTGGAAGTTCTCAAATGCTAAGTCCTGTGCAGTGAAGAGGAGACATCAGGCAGATGTGCTGGCAGGATATAAGAAAGAGTGTGGTGTATTCATTGGGCTAGAAGAAGATCCTGTGGTCTGGATCACCAAGTTTGAGAAAATCATGGTCATCTGTGGAGCTAAGGAGAACAACATGAACAAGACCATGAACAGGACCATGTAAACCATGTGAGGGATCTTAGAGCTTGTTCAAAGGGTGGTGAGCAACAGTGAAATATTATAAACAGGGACGTGTATTGACTAGGTTATCCCTTTAGAATCACCCTAGCCGAGGAGGGGAGGGTGGATGGGGTCGAATTGCGGGTTTGGTGGGAAGAAGAGAAGCAGAATGACCAGGTATTTTCATCTCAGTTAGGAATTGGGCAAGGATGCAGAGGAGAGGGAACCGATCAGAGATATTTACCAGGTAGAACCGATAAGACTTCACGATTGATTGTGCAAGCCCGGTGAGACCACGCACGAGTTACGTGCAGCGGGATTACTACTGACACAGGCAGCAAGGCCAGCGGAAGCCTACGCGTCATTGCGAGCTGGTCCCCCAAGGCTCAGGAAACCTGCCCAGGACACATGGGGTCTCATCTGTGTGTGCCCCACTTGCACCACAGTTGAGGGGCCCCAGAAAGAAGCCCCCACCCCCACCTGGGTTTCATACCCCAAGGGCAACATGACATGCTGGGCTAAAGTGTTGAAGTGTTTCCAGGGAGAACTGGAACTCAGCCCGTGCTGTTCTGGCTGGTCCCTCCCTGTCTCCGGAGGTTGCATTCCCAGCACCTCTAGTTATTCTCGAGAAGTGCGAGTGAGAGAGGGGAGAGAGCTGGGTCAGTCCAAGGCCACCTGAAGAAGTACCCTGCATGTGGCTCTCACTAGATGCTCATCCTAGAGCAGTAACGAGGACAGCTGGCAAAGTAACACGGAGCCACAGGGAGTGTGGGGCGAGGAGCGGGGCCTGTGACATCCCATTTAACCTTCATTTTCCATGCTACATTTACTGCCAGAGATAGAACTTGTTGGGTTTTTTTCCTTCCTCAGTGAGAAGGTTACAGAAAGCATCACTGAGTCAATACAGTGAGCCTCCCCCAGAAGAGGCGAGCCCTGGGGTCACTGAGGTACCCCCTGAGAAGGAGCTGTGAGCAGCCCCCAAGTACGGGACAGCAGGTGTCTCACCTTTTGCTTTTTGCAGGTGCTATTCAGATAGCCCAGAGCAGAGCCCTGCCTCTGGACACTGGCTATCTGCTTGCTCACTGCCTCATGAGTTCACCCCCAGATATGAACTGATGCAAAGACCCAAAGCAACTCTTATTCAAGAATGGCATTAACCAGGTTCTAGTCTTTGCAAAGGGAGTCAGCCCGCACTCCTGGTAAAGGAGCCCCAGGGGAACAGGGCCCTGTGTCTCTTGCCTGACGTGTCTGCAGCACCTAACCTGGCCAACAGAAGGTGCTGGATGAATACCCATGTGAGGCTACACGTCTAGCAGGAGTGATTTTAATCCCCACCTCTGGGGGTCAACAATGCCCTGTGCCTTGAGCATCCCAGATGAAATGTGATCTCTTTGCACTCCATCTTACGGGGT